GGGCACTGACCACACATTTAATGACTATTTGAAGAAACTGTCACAATTTGTCAGGAATTATGGTAGGGATTTCTTCAAAAACAGCCTTATCCAAATAATTATATTTTAAACTACATATGTGCATTAAAGATGTCTGTCAGATAATCTATCAGATATTAATCCAGCACAACTCCAATAAAGTCTACATATTTTGACATTGGTCCATTATTGCTCCAATTTACTAGAACAGCCTTCCACATCTACCACTGATCTATTTTCATTAAATTTCAGTAATGAGTAATTAGTTGCCATTCTTAAAAATTTAAATGACATGTGAAAAATTTGCTATCTTTCTACATCATCTACAGGATTAATATGATACTGTGGCCATAGAAAACATGAATTGATTCATGTATGTTAAGAGTATGCTACATTCTGTTGAATGGGTCCAGAAATCTAGATTGAATTAATGAGTACAAATACTTCCTCTTTGGCAGGGAATTTGTTTCACCAAATGTCATGTCTGTTCTTGGAGAAAATGAAGTTTCATTCAGAAGTTGAAATTTATTACATGTGTATTACAGAAGGATTCTGGGTTTTGTTTTTGTTATGTTCTTTGAGCAAATAAAACATTAGCTGAGCTTCCATTATTCCTCTTGCATAAATAGTTATAAAGTAATAAAAAAAAATCAAACTAGATCATGTGAAAACAAGAGATTGTTTGTCTGGCAGCTTGACTGCTCAGTAGTCAAATATTCAAGAACTTTATACCAAAGACATTGAGTGGAAAGTACCAGGACAGACAGAAGGCCAGGCTGCAACAACAAACTTGTCCCTTTCATAAATACGTACACAGCAGATGCTACAGCAGAGGAAAGAAGGAAAAGGAGCTGCTGGTTTCAGTGGATCACCTGTGACACAGCCTCCAAGAAAAGGAGCAGCAGGCACAGGAAGAGGATAACAGGAGATTTTTAAAAACAAGTAACTTGGTAGACAGCTGCAATTTTACACTGATACCAGACCAGAACAAGCTGGTGAAGTAAAATTCCCCTGTACTCTGCTGAGTACAAACTCTTGAAGTTTATTGTATTTGCTGTATCATCCTAGTGCAGCCAAGAAAGAGAAATTATTCCACTATATTGTCACAGAATGACAGAACAACTCCACTACTGCCTTTATCAAATTTCAGAGCTGAGCAGACCATGCTTTTATGATTGCCGTTTCATCAACAAATTATGTGGACTTCCAAGCATATGGAGAGTGGGTTTCTCCAACTGAACATCATGACAAAATACATTCTTCCAACATTCTTCCAATGTTTTGAACCTATATAGTACACCCATCCTCAGCAGCACAACCTCTAGCACGTGCCAGGACAGATGTGACACTGACTGCTGTCCTGTTCTCTACCTGTGTCACCAGGCAAACTAATTGCCAGAGACTGCATTTAAATTCACTGTAGTGAAATCTGGGACTCAGTCAGAAGTCTTTCAATAAACTTATATGTCCTGACATAAAGAGGCAGTCAGATTAGGTGGCATGGTAGTCCCATCTAGTTGTAAACCGTGAAACCTAAAACTTGGGCATTCCCATTAAGCTCTTAGCATTACAAACAAACAAATTTAACATCTTTTGTACTAGAGGAAAACATAAGAACTGCTAAGAATACATGTTGCATAACTTGAGCATCAGCCATCATTAGTCCAAAGCCTTTCAGACAATGCTTGGAACTTGTGGCTTTGTGTGATGTTGCATCATGCATCACACAACACATTCCATGAGCGGTGCTACGAAAAACTGGAAAACCACATCGTCTGTGGAATTATAACTGGCAAACAGCCAGTAAAATTGCTAGCATTTTGTGAAATGGGCAGAATAGAATTAACTTTTCATGCTGATTCAGACTCAAGGTTTATATGTTCCAAACAGACAGACTGCTACTCTGCAAAATGTGTTACCACTGTCTGTTAAATTAACCTAACTTTAACCACTATCACTTCATTATCTTAATTTGTTTTTTTCAGATTAATTTAGCCTAAAGTATTAAAATATGTTCTTTTTAAATAAGTAAAATATCCAAAAGCTGTTAGAACGACACTGCCTTTATATTTTAAACATTTCCACATTATATAGTAATTGGGAGTTTTTATTTGGCAAACAACCAGACAGTTATTAAAAATAGTTTGCAGAGCTTTACAGAAAAAAAAAAAAATTTAAAAGCTACCATTCATTGTAGTTCCTGGTCTAAGGCATTAATAAGTCTTCAGTTTGATATCTCACATGCATTATTTTTTCTCTAAGAATAAACAAGAGAGCTATTAAAGCAAAATCAAATGCTGCTGTAAGTAATTATTAAAGAAATTTGCACAGCCACAAAACTGGGCCGTTCTGCAGTGTGCTCTAATGTGGACAGAATTTGTACATTCACAGCTTTAATTTTCTGAAGGAGTAAAATGAAGTTGTTCCCATTGGGAATACTTGCAGAAAAGCACTGCATAAAACATTTCATATTTATTTAATAATTTTTTTAAAATGTAAAAAGGAGAAATTTTATCATTATTTGAGTTCTGTGCAATATACAGTCTAATTTACCTGCACCCTCAATGGTGAGTAGAAAGAGCTTGTTAAAAACACCAATATTGTCAACCTCACATTCAGCCATTCTTGTTGTAAGTCAAATAAATAATGCATACAGGACATAAATGCCAAGAGAGGAAGTTCATGGCTTCAGATCAGATTACACAGTAGCATGAAACTCCAATTATACAGTCTTCCATTTCACCACACAGAAAGCATTAGCCTCTGTGACATTTTCACTGAATCCCTCTGCAATGTTAACAAAATAATTAAATAGCTATATTGCTCACATTACTCCTTTTGGAAATCAGTTCTGGTAACACATTATAATTTTGGTTTTCTTATGGTTTTTCAAAGTTAATTTACTGTACTTCTGGCAGTGCCACTCCACAAAAACTTGAAGAATAGCTAAGAAAATCAGGCTTCACATGATTGACAAAACTGTGCATTAAGAAAGGAAATACAAACACTGGTCTGGTTTTCTGAAGTACTGCAAGAAAGAATTAGAAAGTAGTACTGGATTCAAACTGAAGTTGTAGACTTCAGATTTAAATTTCCACTGCCCTTGACACAATTGCCTGTCCCTACTAAAAAGATCTTGTAGAAAAAACTGATTTGTAGAATATGCCACACTGTTAGAAAATGGAGTTGTTAGATTTAGGAATCATTTTTGTCTCTTACATTTTTTAAAAGTGTAGGAGTGGTAACACCTGTTAGCAAGCATCAGTGAAAAAGCAGGAAGGTGTAGTTTTCTACTCATGCTGATTTCAGCCTAGGCACCCCTCTGAAAAAGGAGGGAATCAATCAGAGGTGTTGTGATAGTTTAATACATTTTTATTTTCCCAGCAGCAAGCATCATGGGAAAGAGAACCAAATTTTAAGTCAGGACCAATGGTAAGGTGAACATGAGCCAGCAGTGCCCTGGCAGCCAGGAGGGACAACCCTGTCCTGGGGAGCATCAGGCACAGCATCACCAGCTGGGCAAGGGAGGGGATTGTCCTGCTCTGCTCTGAGCTGGGGCAGCCTCATCTTGAATGTTGTGTGCAGTTTTGGGTGCCACAATGTGAGACATTAAACTGTTAGAGAGCGTCCAAAAGATGGCCATGAGGATGGTGATGGAACTAGAAGGGAAGTTGTGTGAGGAGGGTCTGAGGTCACCTGGTTACCTCAGGAGGGTAAGCAGAGGGGCAGACACTGATCTCCTCAGTCTTGTGACCAGTGACAGGACTCAAGGAAATGGTATGAAGCATCAGGGGAAGTTTAGGTTAGGTAGCAGGGAAAGGTTTTTCACCCAGAGTTGGCTGGGCACAGGAACAGGCTCCCCAGGGAAGTGGTCACAGCATCATGCCTGGCTGACTTCAAGAAGCATTTGCACAATGCTCTCAGACACAGGGTGTGATTGTTGGGGTGCCCTGTGCAGGGCCAGGAGTTGGACTCAATGACACTGATGGGTCCCTTCCAACTCAGTATATTTCATGATTCTATAAAGCTTTACTAGGATGCTATATAAAGCTAAAGCATAAAGATAATGCAAATATTATTTAGATACACTAAACTAGATAGAGAAGTATAAAATTGTTGTGTTAGAATGGCAGGCAGTCCAGTTACAGGTCGTCTTCAATTCCGGGCATCCGTCAGAATGGATGTCAAGTATCCCTGCAGTGCAAGACTATGCAGAGTACATTAAGTGCAGACTCCCTAACCCAGGGTCTTTATCCTCCTGTGTACTTTGAGAAAGGTACAAAGGATGTCAGTTTGTGTAGTGGAGAAAAGCAAACAGAAAAGACACCTCTTAATTCACACTGGGAAAAAATAGCCTTATATACCATCAGATTTGCCTCTTCCTAGTAATATTCCTCTGTGAATATCAGGGCAGCTGAAGTTGCTTTTTATCCAACAGTTATATTTTGCATCAGTTTCCCACAATTTAGTGTGCATTCAATAAGACACTTAGAGGCTATTTATTTTTCTGAGTTCCACACAGAAACCCTCTCTTTAACAATTGTTGTTCAGAAATGCCCAAGTTAAATACATCCACTTGTCTAACTTACAGTATTTATTGCAGAGAGCAAATAAATGAAGATGATTTTTCCTGTATTCCCTAAGTATGCTTTAATTCTTTAGGAAGAAACAGAGTATTACATTGCCAAACATTTCTGAGCCTCGGCAATAACTGTAAGTTCAAGTACTGAGCCTGGCAAAACACCATGTCTTTTTAAAACACTCTTAATAACAATCGTGCAATGTTTATAAAGTGGTGAAAGTGCCTAGATTTTAGTGAAATTCTGTTTCTGCCATAGTTCACAAAATTTCATTACCTCTTTTCTCTGTGCACCATTTCCACACTAGGTCTAACATTGCAGTGATCAATCATAGTTCACACCTAACTCCAGCACTCCAGTTGTCCTAAGAAATTCATCAAAGCTACAAACTACTGACCTTACCCTAAACCCATCTGATTGCAGGCCAGTTGGCTTAGGTTTTCTTGCCACTCATCAGCACAAACATGGTTATCAGCAGCTGACCTGTGAACGGTCAGGAGCATCAAGGAATTCCTGTTTTTAGACAGTGTAACTGGAAAGAAAAAAGGAAGAAAACTTCAGTATTATTTCAAATAGTTTTATAGATGGAAAACTGAAAACATACAACTACATTCAAGATTCTTCCAAGTTGCTGGCACTTTTCCTAGCTTTACATGCTGAATAGCTATGCAATTTGAAACCAAGGCAAGTGTGGTTATCAGAACCTTGCTAAGAGTGAACAGCACGAGACACTGAACAGCAAAGGCATTGAGAGGGTAAGAATAAACTCAAATATTTCTAATTCACCAGTACAGATTCACATGGGCTGCTGATAGCCTTACTTTGTATAGCCTTAATCTAGTTAGATAATCTAGATAGAAAGACCATCACCATTTCTTCTCTCTTAATCTGTACATAAAAATTCAGGAACTGCTTTTATCACATGCAAAAAAGATTCTCAAAAGGTCCTTCCAAACCTCAGCATCTTCTCAATCTCTCCTCTGCCCACAATTCCTTCCAGATTACACACATCATCTACACATTTTCTTGCTATACCACTTTTGTTATGTCTCTGCACTGTAACACTTCACACTGAGCTTTTTCTTTCTCTTTTGCCCATTCCTTGCGTGCTTTCCCAACCTCACCTCAGTCTTTTCTTTGCTTATAGAGGGAGCACCTCTCCACCACTGTATTCTGAATTAAATCACCAGTGATTGCTGCCATCACCCAAACAGCACTTTGAGGCACTGCAGAGCAGACACTTACCACAGTCCCATTCATCTGAGCTGTCAGTGCAGTCTGCCTGCCCATCACACCAGAGTTCACGGGGCACACACTCATGGTTGGCACATTCAAGTTCACTCTCGTCACAAAATGCTGCAAAGACAAAAACAGGCTTCCTCCTGAGAAAGACATGATCAAAGTGAAATTCACATTGAGATGAAAAAGAGAGGAGGATGAAGGTAGATACAGATCACATTTATGGAAAAAGTAAGTGAGGCAGATTTGCAACACAATTCAGCATGGATACCACTGATGCAGAAGGTGGTTGCTGCCATGCAGTGACAGAGGGCATTGCGATTCAGAGGGAAGGAAGAGTGTCTACAAATGCAAGATCTGTGATTACTTAGTATCATTTGTGATCTTTTAATATGAAACCTGTCTAAGCCCCTCAGAAGCTGTAAAAGAAAATACTGTTCTGTGCTTTTTAGCTGACTGATCAAAATTTGTTTAGTTCATCATGGTTTTTGAAAAAAATATTTTACCACAATGAATATCTATTTCCTCTTATCCACAGCAATTATATATTATTTTTTGAATTCACCTTTGCTTTTGAAAATTATATATTTGTTTTTATCTCCACTCTAGAGGTAGAGAAGTGCTGTACTGATAGACATATTCCAGTTCACAGCTGGTATCCTTACATATGGATTTCCAGACTCTGTTCAGTACGGGAACCACAAGAGCTTCCATTTGCAAATGACCTTTAGTTTTCCCCCAACAACCTCCCTTTCAAAAGGCAGGTGTGTAGAAGCACAGTACCTCCCTCACTAACACACTTCCAGTTTCTATAAACCTCATCATTAGGGAAGTCTGAGACCTGGGGGAGGGCAGAGAGGGAGAGAATGCATGGAAGGGAGCTGCATTCAGCTGTGCCCTTGTTTGGCTGATGTACAGCACTTTTACTGCCATACAATCCAAGCACTTGCTTGCAACACTAGTACAAAAGGTGTATTCCACGGTGAAAACCATACAGAGATAGAGCAGGCAGTGCTGCCTACCCCTGATCTTTCTAGCTCTGGAATAAAGCATGCAAAACCAGAAAAAGCACTTTAACTCCACCTTCCAGAGAGAGCATAATTCAAAAACTGGAAACTCAGCTGGGAAAACTTTGCTGCCATTTTCGACTATTCAAGCCCCAAATCAAAAGCAGAGATGAAATATGCCCTGATAATTATAAACTAGCTTAACCTTAGCTCTTTGGCAATCTTTTCTCTGTCATGATCCTAATGTGTGATCACAAGTAAATCACTTCAATACCACCTCCACTCTTCAGGTTACAGCACAGAGCTTGGAAGTTAAGTGGCATAAATAATCTTTACAATAAAAAGCAGATTAAGAAATGTTTTGTGGGCTTCAGCTTCCCAAAAAGAAACAAAGTTTGATCCAGCAATACACACAGACCACGGTTCATTTTGGCAAACATATTCAAGACTTCACTTAGCACATAAAATGCTCCTACCAACAGAATTCCAGAGACTCAGGAGCAACTTCTTTTAAATCACAAAATTATATCCAAATATCCCAGCAAAAATGCCAAAATAGCAGGTTTACTCAGAGAAAAGTTTTCAACCAACTTTACGAACCAATGATCCCTCCTTTTTTTGTGCAGACTTTCTCCCAGTACGTCTTTTCTACTTCCTTGTCTTGGGAGCATGCCCACACACCAGGTTTTCTCCAGAGAGGACAATTCAGAGTGCTACTAATATATCAATCAAAGTTGAGCTAACATCCCAAGGCACTCTCAGCTTAGTATGCAGGGTGGGAGCTTGCAAAGCAGCTGCTGTGTGCAGATGTTCCACCACTTCCCATCCCATTCTCAGATGGAAACAGTGGGAACAGAACTGAGGGCAGCCCCCACAGGGAGCAGGGGGCTGCTGCTCCCTGCCAGCACTTTGAACAGACTTGCACTGTGCACATGGACTCTGTGCCCATGCCACCAGTGCACCCTCCTAAGCTCTGCATCTTCATTGTTATCACAGTTTGGATTGTAGAATAAATCTGTGGAGCCAAGTAGGGACACAGAATCTAAGAAATGCCAATTAGGAAAGAAAATAAACAAGGACATTTACCAAAAAACAGATCAGAAGTAAAATGAAGTAGAAATCAAGGAAAAAATGACCAGCTATCAGCTATGTGTGTATGAAATGAAGTTGAGGAAACTTGGGAAGAGAAGTCAAAAATATACAAGGAATAAAATTACAAAGGCACAAGAACAAGGAGGGAGAAAGAGAAAAGAAAAGAAAAAAAAAACAAAAGAAAAAGAAAAAGAGGATGAGAGTGACCAAACAGCCAGCAAGGATCCAAGGATGTGAACAACAAAGGACACAGGATGAGGAAAGAGAGAAATTGGTGCCACAAACCAACTGAAAAGGGAACTGAGGGAATGACTAAGTCTTTCTGCTTATAGAAAGCATAAAACATTTTTACTTTGATTTATTTTGGACCCCAACATCCAAAAATGTGATCAACCTTTTAAGGGAGTAACAAACTGCATGAGTCCTTACAGCAATTCTTTTCATCCATCATGTCAGGGCAGTCTGGGAAACCATCACAGATCATGGTGTGCTTGATGCACAGCTTCTTCAAAGGACACTCCCAAAGACCTCTTTCTCTACAACCTGCAGGCAGAGAAGCACACTTCTGAAATACTTGTATGCAATATTGAATCAACTATTTTCTTCCTTAAAAGTACTGAAACACACAAAATATCTTGACTTGCAATATAAATTTTAGAAGGTACCAAGAATAGTTACCAGTGAAGAAATGGAAATAAGATTGGCATAGTGTACAATGATAAATGGATCTAAATATTATAACACTTCATAATATTTCTGTGCTTTTGAAATAATAATTGTATTATGAGTGTATATTATACATATCTATAATGGTTTAGGCATTAGCTCAATTAGCTCAAAACCCATACACCACTATTCTTGAAATACATTTACTAGTAATATAAGAACTTTTATAATTCTGCAGTCTGTAGAAATTCCTCAGTCTTTCAAAAGCAAATCCTATAAAAGCATGGAATCTCCATGAAACACTGCAGAAATACATACTTTTTTTCTGTCAGTGCTGATGCAGAATCACAATGAAAGGTAGAAAGGGAAGTAATACAAAATTATGTCAAAGTGCTTTGACAGAAAAATTCCTGTTGGTCAGCTAGAGGAAATTAAGAATAGGCCAAGCTACAATTTAGAAAATAGTTTTCTCTTGTTTTATTCCACTTTTTATTTCCATCAATTAATAAAATATTTTATTGTGATATCAGTTTAAATACTTTGACATACTAATGTCCTGCATGACTGATGCTCTGGTTTTATAGGAAGCCATAAATATTACATGTTGTCCTGACTAAGCCAGATATTTGATTGCCTGTTTGGCCTGTTCTACAGATGATACTTTTCATTTTAATCTAAGGGAAAATTCAATTGCTAGCCCTGATGTTCATACATGTAAATAGTTCAGGTATAAATTTAAAAACAGTATTTAAACCAGCACCTCTCTTTGCCTGGACCTGGAACTGGGAAAGCATATCAGCAGTAAGTTACTAAGCAAATGAACTGTTTCCAAGAAATTTTAATTCTGAAGTATATATTTTACAAATATGAACCAGAGAATCCCTACTGGATTAATGGAAAAAATCTACTCAAGTTTTATCTGTACCTGGATGTGTGGGGTGCTTGATTTTGTTTAGATTTGAAAAAACATGTAAATAAATGTTAAAGCCTAGAGAAATAACAAGCCTTAACCTTTGAAACAAATTCCTCATGATCAAATAACTTTCTTGGGTATCACCACTTTCCAGGTCTCCTTCTTGAGAATATTTGTGATGACTATTAATGAAAAAATAATTGAAAAAAAAACCTCTACTTTTATATAGAACAAGGAATGCCATGTTAGGATCTTGATATGAACAAAAATATCTTGATATGAAAAAAAAGCTTAAACTCCCCATAATTTATGAACCTGTCAATTTTTAGCAGTGTTTACAATTCATTAAATACATTTCCTTTTCTCTTCTTCACACATTACAGTGTTACATTGTGAAGTGTACCAGGACTCTCCAAAACTAATCACATAGACAGAGACAATTCCCTATGAAAAATTCACTAGTTACTGAATTCAGTGTTCAAGTACAATGTTTTGTTGGTAGAGATCATCTACCATTTGGAGTATTTATATTTCATCTCTAATTATTTTTGTGACATGCATTTTTAATTCAATGAAAGGGAAGTGAAAACAGAGCTAGGAAAACTTGTCAATATGTACATTACCCCATCACAAAAATACTTTTTGACAAGAGATACGGTTTCATATATGATCTTACCTTCATAACATGAAGGAAGCTACCAATTGTTATCCATATAGACATTTCCCACACAATTATCATTAAATCATTAATGTCAAGACCACCACATTTTTTTTCTCACCTAAAACACTACAGGTAAAAACCCAGATTGCAGAAAATAGTGAAAGACAGTATTGGCTACGAATGTTATGTCCTCAATTTCTTTAGCAGGTGTAGGACCCTCTTCTGCTCCCTGCCAGAGGCATAGCTCAGAAGCCAGCAATTTAATGCATTCAATTACAACCAACTGTATTTAATACCACAAACTCTTGTGACATCTTTCATAATATTTTTTTTTAAAATTACCTTCCCTACACTTTATTGCACTCTGAAGTCTCACTTCCAGTAATCTCAGCCAGATTTTCTCCCCAAATCCCAGTGTAGATGGCACTAAAGTCTGTGGATTTCACTGCAATTGCTTGGCTGAGAGGTCCTCTCACAAAGCCCACGTGAAAGCATGGCAGGCATTGCTGAAAGGAGACAGTGGCTGCTGAATACAGCTCTGCTCTGCAGGGGGAGAGCAACCTCAGTCCCTTTGCATGGTTCTAACTTACATTTTTTTGGCAGAGTAGTCTAAGCATAAGAAATCTGTAGCCAGTCTTTTTCAGCCTCCTTCTGTTCCATGTCTATCATTTAAAGCACTTCAAATACAAGGGTTTCAAATTAAACATTCAGTGTTTTTTTAATGCTAGAAAACCAATTTAAAAGGATAAAGCTAATAAAATTTGAGCTGTGCATTTACACATGGAAAGAGCATCAAGTTTTGATTTTGTCCTGCACACATGGAATATGAGTAAGTTAGAGACAGTTACTCCTGGAGCTCTACAAGGACATTTTGTTCTTCAGTAACAGTATTAGCCCTGGTCAATGTAATGTCACCCTGACAGCAGTAATTTCCTAGCTGATACAGTCTTCCATATTTATAGACTCTGATAAGAATTCTGCTGATTGCTTGTGACATTCTGTCTAGACTTTAGAGAGATCCACTCGAGAAATGAATGTTACATATCAGAACAATATTTCATATGTTAATGTCTAGGAGAATAAAATTATCCTAAAAGACACATAACAATTCGTTTTCTAAGGAGTTCAAAATTGGTGGCAACAAAAAAATATTTGGCAGGGAGGACAATTGAGACAATTGATTCAAAGTAAAGAGATTTCAAACTGAAAGAATCACCATGATCATCAGGTCTGACTTTCCTTTATAACCCAAACAAGAGAATGACCTAATATTAAATCACATTTCAGAGAGCATATCTTTTTTTTTTCCTTTCTTTCTTTTTTACATGGGTGGGGGAAGGGAAAGAAATAAAGAAAGAATAGAGAGTACAAGAATGATCTGGAAATTCCCAGAGACTGAGAATACATCACACACTGCAGGTAAATAAACCCTTGGCTACTGCAAACATTAAAACAATCTGCTTTTTAAAAAGAAGCATTTTATAGGGCTGCCAAGATTGAACTTTAGCTTAGCTTTAGCTTTAGCTTTCTGGTGTTGGGAATTATTTTACTGTCTCCGAGTAGAAATTCTCTTATTGCCACAGTTTTGTTGTTCACATAAACTCTGCTTCCCTCTTAACCCATTCTCAGTTAAAAAAAACCACACAGGTTGTGCACCTTAATCCCGCTCTGCTGCAATGTTTCCCAATCCTTTGCTCATAAGCCTCTTCTCTAAATTCTTAGTGATGTATGATTATTCTCTTTGCCCCGAGGGATGCCAGGCCTGCATGGAGACCTCCCTAAAGGCTACAGCTTAGTCAATTAATAAATATTTAAAACTCCTTTTTCCTTCTGAAACTGTCCTGCCAGCATAGAAGGATACACAGTGACCAATAGATTTCTTGATTATTTCAGGCTTAATATATTCCCTTAAGTTAAAAGTCAAAAGCATCTATACTAAAAGTAAACTCGGAAACATATTGGAGAATAATCTCTGAGGGTTTATGCTTGTACTCGTAACTTGAGATTGACCAATCTGAAAAAAACATGCAGAATCCACTTCAGCAACACAATATATCATAATGACATCTTTTGAGTACATATCCTAAGGAGAACATTATCATGTATAAATTTAAAATTACATTTACAGATTCAAGATTTAATCTGCCAGGAAGTTAGCCCAGTAAAGCCTTCAGCAACATGAAATTAAATTTGTGAAATTTTTTTAGCTTGATTCTTTAAGGAATACTCAAACATCCCAGAGTATGATTATCAGAATCTAAATGATCAGTTATCACAAATTGTATTCATGTTGATTAAGAAGGATGCTTGCTCTAGTATTTTTACTGATACTGTCTTAAAAAAAACCCCAATCCTTTTAACTATACAAAAAAAGGTTGTTCTCCTTCTCTGAACTCTCATGCTGCCAATTCAAATTAATGAAAAACAAAGCTAATTTTCCCGTGCTGCAGCTGTCCTCCATTCCAGCCCATCGCATCTGTTTACCACAGCTGTCCTCGTCACTGTCATCCTCGCAGTCAGCCTGGCCGTCGCACCTCCGGGACGCCAGGACACACCGCCCCGAGCGGCACTGGAAGTGACTGGGTGAGCACTCTGCAGGGACACACAACAGGGACAAACAGCGCTCGTCACACAACGGCTTCATCACAGCATGGGCACTGATTTGTCACCCAGGCTGCTTCAGAAGGGTAAATAACACGGATAGAAGGCTTGTGAGACTGGAAAGATGCATCAGGTGAGACTCTTCATAACTGCACCAGGAACGTGGTGGAGCAACTTTTTCCAGAGCTCTCCCTTCCGTGCTGCCCGCTGTCAAATGTCATTGCTTTGCCAAATCACTGGCATGCAATGTTTAGACCGTGGGTATCAATCTCCTAGCTACTCTTCTCACCACTGTGGTGGTGTATTATGCATTGAAATAAATATAAGAAATCCCCAGGACAAAAAAAAAAAAAAAGAAAAAAAAAAAAAAAGATTGACAATTATGTGTCTATTTCAACTAATGAAAACCAGGTATAACTTTCCACTAATTGACCCTTTCACTGTTTCTGCCTCATCTCACAGTACCATTTTGGGACAAAGGAGTGGAAAGAGTTGGCAGATCTTTAAGGAACTCTTTCATTGAGTGTTAGCAATTCCCTGGAGCAAGAAATCCAGCAAAGAATTCTGACAAGAGACGGCATGGCTGAGTCGAGGAACTCAGTCTGGAATAATTTCCACAGTTTAAATATTATAATTTAAAGGAAAAGTATGAAAAAAACAAACACCAGTGACTTTGAGAACCCATTTAAATCTTTTATTTGCTGTAATATGTGTAGGAGGTACCTTCTACATCTTCATCTGGTGTTAGACAGGTTTGGTTGTCCGAGTTCTCATCTGGAAACTGAGTGCAGTCTGTATCTTCTGGCCACTGCAGACCTACAATCCCAAGCACAGCCTCACAGCGCTCCTTAGACTGTACACACAATGTCCTGAGGAGACAAAGCAGAATTGCACCAAATAACCAAATGAATGGCTTACAAATTCACAGATACTACAGGTTAATAATCCTAGCCAAAGTTAAGCATGAAGATCAAGAAAAGAAATCATTTAAACAGATGTTTTAATATGAAAAAATACATATATCAAAGAATGTTATGGTTGAAACATTAAGTTACCGTTGTGCAGTTATGTTATAAATAGGTTAATAATAACCAAATATAACTGCTTACAAACATGCTCTCCTCTGTAAGAGATGGCAGAGAATGATTTTTAAAAAGCTCTAACTGCTGTCCTTCAGGGAAAAAAAACAAACACATTTTGTATGAGTGAAATGCTACCTCTTTTGATTATGTTACCTCAGGAACCTCAGATTTCTGCATGCCAGAATTTTTGTTTTCCAATGACAAAAAACAAAACCCACAACAAAAATATGCTAATATAGCAGAGACATCTAAGCCACTTCTGTCCTGTATTCTCTGCACACTCAGACCTTTGGTCAAAGCTGACCTTTTCCAAGGTATTGTAAGCCATTTACTTGTCTGTCTGTGGTGAAAGAATTAGAATCTATTTAAACATCAAAGTAGGCATGGACTAATATTACCAATGCCTTATCACAGATGAAGAATAATGTTCAGAAATTGAAAACATACTTGATACAGCAATGAATAATATAAATAACAATAAGTTAAGTTTCTTCCAAAAAATCTCTTACTTGTCTTTTTCTAATTTGAATCAAACTTTATGAAGATTGTTACAGTTAAACAAAGCCTGACAGCCAAACTAACATAAAGACAACAAAAAGCCTTGCAAAGCAGGGACAGCTGCTTTATATAGGGGGAGTAGAATTAAAATAATTTACTTGTACCACCTGGAATGAGAAAACAGATCCATGTGCTTGTATTAAAAAAATCTAATGCATCTCTGAAGGTTTATACTATAGTAGATGCAGAATTATAATATTATTGTGCAATTCATAGTTGGAAAGTACACTTTGACTTAAAAAGTGCAAACCTGAAAAACTGCATTAGCTGAGTTCAGTTTCATATTTACAGGAAAAGACAGGTAAAACAAGACATATGTCCTGTTAAGTTCAATTAATCACTTATATATTTGAACAAGAGGGCAGTTATTTTGAAAGTCAGCAGCAGATTCTCAGAATATAATTTCTGTTCTGACAGTGTAACATTTTCTCTTCTCAGAGCTTCAAATTGTAAAGTAGATATACATTTATACTGAAATGTCAAATTTATTTAATTTTTATTGGTTTGAGCTTATTTTTGTTTTCATTTCTAAAACATTTTTAGGTTTTTACATTATACAGGTATCTGAAATTCTCTCTAAAATGTTATTGTTAAGCAGATACTACAGATCTAGTGGCACCTACAAAAGTGCCCCTTCCTGATAAAAACATTCTGTATCTGTGACCTAACATAAGAGTGAAACCTAAAAACTATCATAAAAGTAGAGTTTTGAATGCTACGATTTAAAGTTTTATGTCGCATATTCAATTTGGTCTAAATCTGATGTTACCCAGTTTTGAGCAGGCAGTTGGACCAGATGACTTCCAGAGGTTCCTATCAAATTTAATTGTTCTGTGCTTTCTATAAGTTCCCCTTCATCTGTATAATACTTTAAATTGGAAGACTATTCAACTGTATCATGACACTTCCTAAAATCTGTTAGCTAGATATGATGGTAAAAAGCCTACAATTTAACTTACATCCCTCTACATGAGAATAAATGAATCCCATTTTTATTTATTTACTGGTTTCTTTAAAAAAAAACAAAAACAAACCAAACAAACAAAAAAAAAAACAAACATACACACAAAAAAACCCCAAAAAAAACAAAACAAACAACAACAAAAAAAAAAAAAAAAAAAAAAAAAAAAACCCAACCCTTGATTTTCAAACCAGGAAGCCTGACACAGAGCTTACATAAACTCTCTTACATAAACCTCTCTGTAACTCTGAAGCTATTCTGTATACAATATTTTCTTTCCCATTAGGTTCCTATGTGAGAATTTAACAATATATTCATAAGTTTCCTTGTGGTTCACTCTTACCTTGCACTAAGAAGCAATCACTAGATAAAGAAATGTTATCTATTTGCCAACAGTATCACGTGATAAGAAATTTTAGGATGTGTACTGCAATTTTTCATGCACTTGTCTTTCAAACACAAGGTGTTAATCGATCAATATTGTCAAGGTAGGCCAAATAAAAGAGGCAGAAATACAGAATGAGAGGGCTCTAGCAGCCAGTAGGTCAAAGGGCTCTCCTGTTGGTCAAGTTTATTAGATCTCCTAACATGCAACAGCTGCTGCTGAGAAAGCCATGAGATCTACAGAACACAGTCTCTTTAGAACAAATACAGGCATAACCTTAAAAAGCACAGTGATGTTACTCAGTGAGGATGGTGGAATAGTTACTCTGACATGCAGGAAACCTAAGTTGGCCTGGAATTCAGAATGATGTGGCACTCCTAATTTAGAAAAGTAAACATTCATTAAAATCTCAGGTTTTGTTGAGCATTTGGATAGGGCTTTGCATCAAGTAATGTACTAATACAAAGAGCTATACAGAATGCTAATGTTCCAAATTACATTAATTGATTCCATGTTTAAACACCCTTGATAGTGGCGCAATTCTAATCAAACACACAGAAGTGGAAAATACTTCATACAAAGCTCACAGCACCCTTCCTGTCACCCTGCTCAGTAGTGGAGTGAGCAGATTCACAGTGCCCTGGGTGAAAAACTGAAGGGTCCTGGCAAACAGGGCTGCATCTGGCTGCTGACTGGTCACCTGTGCTGCACCTCTGGGTTCAGCTGCAGAGCCTGTTCTGCTCAGAACATCCATCAGTGGGCTGGGTGCAGCAGTTCAGTGCATCATTAGCAAGCTTGCTGATTATACAAAACCTAGAGATGGTGTTGACTCTGTTGACTCTCAAGGGATAAGAGGCCTCTGCACTGGACAGTCATCAAGGACATGAAATTTAACAAGAACAAATGCCTGATCCTGCACCGAGGATGGAGTAGCACTAGGCACAAATTGGAGAGCAGCCCTCCAAAGAGGGACCTGGGCATGCTGGTCAGCACTAGCCTTTTCCTGTTGAATTCCAAAGCAAAATTTTTGGCGTTTTCAATGAAAGCACAAAATTGGGAAAAACTACTATGACAGACAGTCAAGAATTAAATGAAATATGGTTTAGTATAGTACCTGCAAGGTGGGATCCGCTGATTTGTATGGGGGTCACATTTTGGTACTAAGATTGTACAGGCAAAAAACATCAGGTACTTGTAGCAGTTGGTCTGAACCAAAGCTGGGAAAAGGGAGGACTCCCAGCTGATAGAGGCTTCCTTCTGTGTCCTGTGGCCCAGGTAGTTTGGGTAATAAGTATAGTTGTAAGGCAAGTTCATACAAAGTTCCAGAGTAATTGGTTCACACTGGCCTTTCAGGGAAAGAAAACAAACAGAACCACAAATGGTGAGAGATTAAATTAAATACAGAAGAAATAATTCCATACTTATTTAACAAATTTATCAGTCAGGGGATAACCTCTCAGGCTTGAGAAACTACAAGAGCTAGAGACCCCTTACAAGCCTTTTCATAGCAGTAAAGGTGGGTTTGAGTCCTGCCTACCTCGTAACCCATTAAGATACTTTTATTTCCTTATTAATATACATTGACTTTCTGAGCAATATCTTAACTTTAAGGTGGTACAATAAACCACCCTTAAACCAGTACAGTTTGCACTGTACAGCAACAGCAACACACTGGTGTACCTGCTATGCTACCATGACACACCTCACACTGACAGAGCAATTGCCAAAATTAGGAAGACAGAAATCATCGGATACTTTGGGTTAGAAAGGATCTCGGGAGATCTCTGCTCCAATGCCCTGATCAAAGCAGGTCAGCTCTGAGGACTGATCAGCTTTCTCAAGGCTTTAGATAGTCAGGTCATAAAAAATCTCCAGTGACAGAGACTGCACAATTTCACCAGAAGCCAGGAGTTGCTTTTAATTCTTTTCCTTGTTTACCAAGATCTGAAGGAGGGGAAAATTAGGTTATGTATTGCACAAGCACTGAGCAAGAGACAGTCTATGCTAATAATTTAATTTGAGTAAGACATAATTAATAACAAATTAGAATGATAAGCAAAGACAAAACAGATGCAACAGCTACAAGTCCATATAATTATATATATTATAGCTACATACAAAAATATTCCAACTTTTGGGAGTTTATCACAACAAATTTTGAACTAGCCAAGTATTTTGGATTTCTAAAAATTGTATAGCTTTGTATTTCTTCTCACTCTGGTAATCAGAAATATTTATTTTTCAATTTTCCACCATAACAGAAAACTACAGACAGAATTTCACTTCAACTCAGACTGAAATTCAACTTTTTATTTAGCAATGAGATGATTGTGAAATTATTTAAACTTATTTACTCTGGATATATTTGGAAAGTTTTCCACAAAAAAGTATACAATTCAAAAGTTTAAAAATGCATATATTTGCCTATTCTGGGAGCAATTACACCTTAATATGATTAATACTCTCTGTTAGCTAGTTGCTAGCATCCGTTGCTAGTACAGTGTGAGAACTGTGTCATCCCATAGCTGTATCTTTGAGAGAAGTTGCAAGAAGAGCCAACAGCAGTTAATTATTCAGCTAATCAGCAAAACTGGGTATTCTTTCTTGATCTGGCATTTGGTGTTTTATCTTGTTTTACTATTTACGTCCAATCTGATGATCACAAAGCCCATTTTACATCCACCTTTTCCTCGCACACTACCAATACTGAACTGTTTCTGTTGTCTCAAACCACTTAGTCACATCTTTGGGACACATGAGGTTCAATGACTTTAACAACTCTCCTCACGTTACTGCCATTTCTTTTCCTTCATGATGAACAACCCCTTGTCCTTCCACACTTTTGCCTGAGATGCTCAGATCAGTTTGGGCTCATCTTTTGATCATGGCCAGTAAACATCTTTCTTTGATGTGTACAGAACTTTACATATTCACCAGTATGGTTTCAGGATGACCACAAAAGTACATGCAATATTGTAAGTGATTGTATAACATAATATTACTCAAGACTAAAGGGTTGAAATGCACATATACCATCCTCTTTTATTGCGCCTCGTATTTATATGGGTTTAAAGGAATTCTGGAAGAAAATCTAGTCTACTGAAATGCTGCTGGAGGATAGCTCTTTACACGTTTTCAATGTGATTATAATTTTCACACTGTGTTTAGAAAGCTTCCATTACACTATGTGCAAAAGTGTCACTGTAGGTTTGAAAATAATAACATTGACTCTCACACGCAATTCCCAACAATCCAGAGAGTAATGCACAGAACATATGGTCCAGGGGAACACCTGACTCATTTTAAGTAACCCAAATGTTAGTCTTTCCTTCTGAGTCTGTCCTACAGCTTAAGAGGTCCTGCTATTCCTTATCTATAATACATGTGCGTCCAGCCTAAGGAGTAAGGAACAAGGAATAAAATTCATTGCATCTTTCATCCTGAATTAAGAGAAGAAAGAAGTCAAAACAAACAAAATAAAAGTAAAAAAACCCAACCCACAAACAAAAACAACAATCAAAAAAAACCCCCAAAACCCCAAAACAAAAAAAAACCCCAAGCCAACAACAACAAAAAAGCCACCACAAACCAAGACATTAACACATAGACTATGCCTGGATTTAAGATCTCTATCCATTGGAGTCTCTCACTCTGGGCAATCTGTGTCCAGTCACACTTGCAGTAAAAAAAGTGCTTATCATCACAGTTTCATTATGCTCCTGTGTTTTATTTTGTGCCAATTGCCTCTGATCCTGTTACTGAGCTCTGGCTTCTTTACTCTCTCCCTTCAGATAGCCATTCTGTTATCTTAAACATATTGTAAATACAATATACAATTGTAATGCCAGCCTAAACTAATCTGACATTATCACATTTGGGAGACATCCATCACATTCAATACTGGGAAATGTGGCCTACACCTTGGAATTTTTCAACCAGATAGTAATCTGGGCCAAGAAGTACTGCTTTGTCAAAACTGAAATTTTTCATGAGAATTTTTATGTCTCACCAAAGATGAAATAACTCAGGTCAAAATATGAACAACAAAAATAATATGAGAAAAAGACAATAGTACTTCCAGATGTTATGCAAGAACAATCTCTCCCAAACTGTCTTGCTGTTCCATTGTGTATAAACAATTAAATATTCACTGGACTAGAAAGAGACAAAGTGAGATGATCCAGAAGACTAGTTCAAACTATGCATTACTCCTGCTAAGAACTACAGACAGTTGCCCATAATATATTGAGGAAACGTCTTCACTAAAAAGCTCTTGGGTTTCTCATAATATGGCACTGGAACAATGTTTTACAATTCAAATATTACACGTCAAAAATCATAGAATCAAAGAGTGGTTTGGGTTGGAAGGAACCTTAAGGATCATCTTTAATGGGAGATCCTATTGCTCTTAGCAGTTAATGGGCAGGTGTAAATCACATGGAACCAGACCCTTTGGAGCAGCAGGGATAGGATAAGAGGCAAAAGACATTAAAGAATTCCAATGATTTATATGAAAACACGTTTTTAGAATGGAAGTTCTCTAGCAATAAAACAGATCTCTCACAAAGATTGTGGAATCTCTGTCCTTAAGGATAGAGTTGCTCAGCTGCACAAGATCTGTATGGGCAACATAACTTAATTGGCACTGATTTGATCAGGGGTTTTGGCTTGTTACCAAAGGTGTTACCTGGCTTCCTTCTAATGATAAACATGGTACATGAGATTATTCCTTTACAAAAATGTAGGCAAAGCCATGACAGAAGCATATGTAAAGCATTTATACCCTATAAAGTGTATTATAGCTTTACTTTAGCAGCATCTAAAGGCCGCAGCATGAGTGGTGTCCGTCTCAAACACTTGAAGGTGATAGTCAAAACTCTAGAGAGAATATGGAGTTTGGACTAGTTGACCTTCCCGTGTCCATTCTATTCTAAATGGAATGACATTATCCACACAAGCTACCATATAGTATCTTGCAGAGAGCACAAAGCAATTACACATGAATAATGTAAAAATAAACTGTAAGTGAAGCCAAGTCTGTCCATCTGTCAATGTGACCTGAATTGATGTGACTGTATTAACACAACACTAAGTTTTAACTAATTTTGAGTAATTTTTCATACAGTTCTGCCCCACTTTCAAAACACAGACAAGTATATTTCTATTGATTTCCTGTTCACATAGCACAATTGAGAAAAGCAGCTATTCAGACACAAGTGCACAACTGGGACAGGAACCTTGCATGGAGTGGTATAGTGCAGCGCACAGCTATGAGGACACACAGAGCTGAAGACCCTGATCCTCTACTGTTTGTATTGGTCAAAAGTATAATTAGTTTTTACAGTTTGAATACCAAAATCGTTCCTTCATAAACGTCTGAGAGTTCTCCAGACTACTAAATACTGTAACATGGGGTTCTTTATATTGTGAAAATAAATCTGCTTTACACTTTAAAGTAGACACTGCTGTCTACTTTACATAGACACTGAATGCCATTAAATGCTAATAGAAAGTGAAATGGTAAACACCCATGCAGAAAATATAAAATTTCACAGAAGAGAAAATTAAAATACCTCAATGTCAAATGTTATAAATCCTAGTACCTCAATAATCAAGAGCTTTGATGACATATTTGCTTCATATGAAGACATATTGCCCTTTTCAAAGCTTAGTCACCAGACATCTATATTAGCTAGAAAATTACAGTATTACTTACTGTGTTCTACTCTGCATCCTCATTATAAACTAGAACACCCTAAAAGAGTAACAGTATGAAGCACATGACCTACTTACTGCAGTTTGTCTGGCTGTTTCTCATCTCACAGGGAGAAGCTCCACAGGGATCAGGGCAGGAAGAGCACCTCTGGTCTCCCTCCTGACAGAGGGTTTGATCTGATGGAAGTAGAAAAGTACTTTTCAAATTATTTACCAGACTAATGAAAATGACTGGAGCATAATGAGAAAGTACAGTGTTTACATAAAAATTAAGTATTTCCTTTACATATTTCAGTAAGTACCCAGCAGCATTTCAAGCGCAGTAAGGAAGAAAAGTGTGCAACACTGCTCAGTTCCCACTTTTCTTACCCCTCTGTTCAATATAAAAAATTATATTCCAGTTTCTGAATGAGATGCATGGATCTCTGAAAGATATTTACCATGCAGAATATTAAAAGTCATGCAAATTACATTTCAAAAAGAACAATAGGTCCTAGCTGAAAGAGAACATTGTCTGGGAATTATTCTTCAATGCGACTCAGATGATCTGCTTCTCATCTTATGATTGTTTTGGTTGACAATAAAAGACATCCTGAAGAAAGGTCAGAGATGAAGACTAATTGTCCTCACTTGAGTGGTTAAAAAACAACAGAAAGAACTCCAAAAATGCTATGGTCCTAATGATGGACTTCAGAATAAATAAAACCAACACTTCATCAAAAGTTTCTGAACTACTTGAGTAGTTACTTTATCCGACAAATCCCTGGACTTCTCTCTCTCATAGTTGTGCTAGCTCCTTTCCAAACCATTAAATTCTCTCTTCCATGTGTAAAATGAGTCATTTAGTTTACTATTCTGTAAGGAGAGACTAAATAAATGGTGTTCATCATCTTATCCTGTTCAAAAGCTTATTGCCCTGATTGCTTAGTATTTGTACTGCACTACTGCCCATGAACCTTAATCATTCATCCCTCCATTGGACATACAGAAGGTGCTGAAGAAAGATCTAGTTTCAATAACCTTGACAACAATCTTGTCTAAAGGAACTGATTATACAGTCATATCTATCATAATTATGTGGATTTACTTCCATTCATACATGTTATATATTGAAGCAAAAGAGGTAATTTCTTTGCTATAGTGATTGACAATCTTATTTTACAGCTGCATCTGACTGGAAAATGGAACTTGAAAGGCAGGAAAAGCCTTTTGACTTCTAAAGCTATCCCAAATATTTACATTAAAATTATTTTTAAAGTTTGCTCCAACTCCTTCCTATATTTTCAAAATCCCTGTGCTACAAGGTAGATTCTTTTGATCCTGGCACAAATAATGCTGAATTTCTACAAACACACTGTACCCTGTCTTTTGAAGAGATCACAGAAACAGTTGTGAATACATCCATATTAGATTTCTATTGTCACAAAATGAATGAGAGCAGTACTCATAGACAGATGCCATACCTTAAATTTCCTTAAGGCATGCAGTGAAGGAGACCACTTTTCTCATCCAGGTAGAGATGAAGCAACAGTCAATGGTAATATCTGAATGTATGTACTGCTAATGGGACACAAGATCCCTGTACCCTTTTATAGGCAGGGTGAAGTCACTACACCCTGAGCTGAAATTTCTATGCTGATTTCTCACATTCACTGTGTTTGTAACAAAACCAGTACTCCAGACTCCATTAGCCCTAACTACACTGACTCTGACAGACATATCCAAATTTTTTATATTTGATTTGTAGAGCAGAAAAGTCCTTGTAAATGTCCTACGACATTTTTTGCAGTTGCTGAAAACAACAAAATATATAAGAAATACAATAGTAAGTTACAAACAAGAATTCTGCCTTGGTTTTACATGGACTTTGCAAGGAACTAAAGATTAATGAAATCTAAATTCTGCCAAAATATTCACATGCAAATTAGGGTGGATGGGATATGGTTGCCTAAAGAAAGAATTTTTTCTCTACACAATACTGCAATATACTGGATAGAACTTTTGCACATTGAAGAATTAATAATAAAAATTAGGAAAATGTTTGTATTTAAAAGCTCTGCAGTTCAATGCCAAGCAGAAAAGATCTTTTATCATGTAGTGAGATCACTGAATACTTAATTATCATCCCGTATTACTTGGGATTGAATATTTTAACCTATACCTACTCATCACACCAAAAAAAGATTTTTAACCATTGCTTCAACATCAAAAGGGGAAAAAAGAGGCAGTGAAAACAAAATACATCACTGACTTCTAGCCCACATCATGTAAGAAAAAGGGAGGATAAAACAATTCATAGGCTAAGACTGAGACTGGACATCAAGAAAGAAGAATAAAAGGTGAACATTTTGTGAAAGGGTACAGTCAGAACTGAGGAGAAAACTTGTTTCTGGGTTTTAAGATTGCCACAGTCAGAACGAGAAGATATTTCATGCAAGACTTTTTTATAATGTCAACATTAAAAGTGAGGAAAAATAATGATAATTTGTATGTTTCAGCTTCTCAGATATGTTTGGAATGAAAGTACTTAAATTGGAGTAGGAAAATCCCAAGAATTTTCTGTGAAAAGAAGGGACTGAGTGACATGCTTATGAAAGGATTTATTTTAGGGTTTCCTAAAGAAAAAAGGCTTATATAATCACACTGTGTATCTATTTTATGATAACAGGTCTTGTCTACTCTAATAACTATTAAATAGCCTGTCCTATTACCACTACACTTGCCAAGGGTAGCTTTCTGCATAAGGTTAACTATTTTAATTTCTTTAAAATAAGATTAATTTTTAAAAGACATTAATAATTCTTGCATTAAAGAAAGGCTGCAATCTGAACCTATATCTTACCAGGAATAAGAGAATTACAGGTGAAAAATACCTTCAAATTTTGAAATCATCATAACATAACAACATTGCTTTCTGACTGTCTTTGGAAAACCGTGTTCTGGGGCTCAAGCCATTGCTTAGTTTCCTCTTCTCTCATAAAGTCCACAATAAGACAGCTATCAAGTAACTGTGAAAACTTATGCTCTCATAAATTTTCTCTTAGTTACACTAAATCATTAGTTTACTTATTAAAACATTCTTTCTCTGATTCCCAAGTTCTGATAAAGAAATTGATTTTAATGAGAAAATTCCTGCTCAAATGACACCAATTCCTGTAATAGTAGATTCTCATTGCTCCAAACAATGTATTTCAAGTAACAGCTAATTATATCAGATAACTAAATACTGTGCTAAATATCACCCCCACTACTTCAACTTTTATAATAATTTTAAGTATTAAAAGAAGTCTGCTTACAAATGTCTGTGTGAAAGCACACACCAACCAGCCTTAGCAAGTGTTATTTGAAAGATGAACAAAGTCATTTGTCAGACAGCTTTAGCTAAAGGCACTGTGGAACACAGCAGTCAAGGGTAGGTTTAGCAAGAGTAAAATGAAGCATATCCTTACTTTCACTGCAGTTTTCTTCATCACTTCCATCTTTACAATCATTATCTCCATCACACTGGAATGCACTAGGAATGCACTGCCCATTTCTGCACTCCACCAGACCCTGACTGTGACATGCTAGAGGGAAAAAAATATTAAAAAACAATATTCCGATCAATGAGCTCAGTGAAGCCCTGCATTCTATTTGAATATCACACTGAAGTTATTTTAGGAGGAGCTGATAACACTGCTTAGCACTGGAGGTCAGGAGGCATTTCTCATTATTTGTCAGCTAATTTTTCAATAGCTGCACTGATCTTTACCTACAGAGACTGAAACTATAAATGTCAGGTATTAGCAACAGCCTGAGAAGAAGTCTTACCTTCCCCAATGAAAAAAATGCACGTAATTTTTACTCATTGGTGGGAACATTACAATTAACAAAATACTAATTCTGTAATTAACAAGAAGCTCTAACACAAAGCAATGCTTTACTTTTTAACAAAGGCAACAAATATTTAATTTGCTGCTTCTGTCTACTGAAAACAGACATTTTTCAAGTGTGAACTTCTGCAATAAAATTAGTTTATAGTTTTGCCTTACAATTAAGTAATTAAGTACACTAGTTATCTTGCTTTTTTTTTTTTTTTAGTTTTTAAAGAAAGAAAAAATAATTTAGAGATTAAGGGAACTTACAGCAATTGATCTCATCTGATTTGTCTACACAGTCATGGTCACCATCACATACCCAATCAGCTGTTATACATCTCCCATCTCCACACTGGTGATGTGTCACTGGATTGCAATCTACATAAAATGCGTATTTGAGGAAAAAAAAAAAGGATGCTAAGTTACCATTTGTATATTTTATATTACTAATCAATTGTTCTATGCTTATTAGCTAATTTTCTTATTAATGAACCATTTTAAATTAATAAATTATATTAAGAAAATTTTTGTATCTGCAGACTTTTTTGCAGATGGTAGTTACATATATTCTTAATTGTACTGCCTGTATAGTGATGCAGTCATTCCTTCTCCCTGGTGCACAGCTGGGACTATTTGTAAATAAACTAGTTTCTAAGATTTGTTAAACCAATCAGAAGATCTGGCTTACCACCTCAGGGACTGCTTTTCAGTTAACCAACATTTTCAGTAACCATCAGAGAAAATAATTTCCTTCATTTATCTTTTTACTAAGACATTTAAAAAATATTTCTTAACTTCAGAAACTATATTTTTTGCACGTACTTGGAATTTTCCGTAAGAATTATCTACAAAGAAATTATTCCAATTGCCATCATACTCTTTATACCTGAATGCACAAAGAGCATTCTATTGAGCACACTGACTTTACATGAAAATAGAGAGAACAGACATAGTCCACTCCTCCAGATCAGCTATGAAAACCAATTATAGCATGTACAAAAACTTAGATTTTAAAAATTGTAAACAAAAAAACCCCTATGTCAAGGTACGAAAGACAGGGGACAGATCAACATTTAGAAAAACATAATCATCTTTAAACTGAGATTATTTATGAAAAAGGACCCCCTAAATAACGAAAACTGACAAGAAAATATTGAAAAGTCTTAAGAGTGTGCTTAATTTGAAGAAATAAAAAAAAAAAAACTCAGACAAAAATGTGCCTTGATTTTCAGTTTTTATATTCTTTGTGTTCTTTCTTAAAGCAAAAGGAAAAAAGAGAGAAACAATATTTTAACTGTTTAAAATTATTTTAGAAAACTTAATTTTTCTCAGGTGTAGTAACAGGACCAAATGTTAGTAAAAATAAGGCCTTCTGAGTTTCCAAATAGTTACATGCTAAGATTATTATTTTTTAATGTCAAAACCCCATTGTTTCTCCTATGGAAGTTTAGTGTAGGTAGATAAATACAGCAGGTAGGTAAGTGTCATGAGAACATGGAAAGTTGATTGACAAGACAATTCGAAAGAAAAAGAATTTGATAATCAAAACATACAACTTCACTATCAATCTTATGTAAAAACAGCTCAGCTATAAAACAGTTGGCACCACTAGTGCCCTCATATAGTTTGCTTTACTCTCAGTTAAATACAGTCAAACTAGCAAAGAAGCATCTTTTGGAATTAGTTTAAAGCAAATTGAAAATAGCAGTATTTCTTATAAATACCAAACTCTTCAAGATTTGGATTGACCCAGAACTCTCCCTTAAACCCTTTCCAATTTCATACAGAATCTGTGAGCTGTTTACACTTTGTTCAAATACAGTAAGAGCAGGGTACATTAGTCTTTCAGTAGTTCTAGGAAAAGGTTTACTGGCTTAGGCAGTCCTGATATATTAAAGACTTTAGAAAAGCACATAACTTTCATTTACCACAATTTTGCTCATCACTAAGGTCTCCACAGTCATCGTATCCATCACAAACAAAGGTATAATTGAGGCATTTTCCCGTCTCGCAGCGAAATACATCAGTGCTGCAATCTACAAAACAAAGCACGTAAGATGTTAAGGCTGAATTGGAACATTCATATAAACTATGAACCCTGAAATGTACTGACTGCACACAAGATTATCTGAAGATACCTTACAGCTTATGGCTCTGCATTAATACCAATTTATTGTGTACCAATTTATAAGAAGCTAATCTGGAAGAATATGAAAAATAAAAAGCCATTTTTAGAAATTTTTACACTCTCCCTACCAGGTGTTTTTTTGATCAATGCCATAAGGAGAGAGTGCTCTGGTTGCACATAGGGACCTAAATGTTTAATTAATTTATACATACAAAGTTCTCAAGAAATGTTGTAGTCTTCACAATTGCAGATTACTAGGAAAATCCTGAGTATCTGACGTGGCTGTTAAGTGGAGATGAAGATTCTAACAGCAAAATCAAGATCCCTAGACCCTGCTTTTGAGCCTGCCTTTGGTCTTACAATGGTTTCAAATGAGCTTTATGCTTAACACAGTTTGGACCTCAAATTTGGCCTGGTGCCTTCTCATCAAGGAATTCTTACTGTCAGCCCTAAGTGGGTTTAACATTTTTTTATGACTGGATGCATCAGTAAAGCCTGCCAGATTTTCTCTGAGAATAACCATAATACTTGAATAATATCAGGTTCAATAAAAACATGGAATATTTGTTGTAGTTAAGCGGGTTGAAGAGAAATTATGGTTTGTGGTATCTGGTCCCATCAGTAATAACTTTTGATTTCAAGTATGCAGCTAGGAAGTAGGTAACTCAGTTTCACTGCCTTCTTCTAGACTTTTCCTTGACCTCTAGTTTTCCAGGGAGAATGCCGAGATACAGAACAACTGGGTGGACAATACTGCCTTCCTGTTGGAGCTATGCCACTGGAACCAAGGAAGTCCTTTGTGCCCGTTCTTAATGGCATATGTGGGCATTTAAAATGAGTTATTACCCAGAAAACAGAGATAGAGCTCAAAAAGCAGGGACTGGAATCAAAGTGCCTCCTTTCTTCTGAGATGATCAACCACAAAACAACAGAATCATGCTACCACTTCCCTCTCTCCTCTTGGCATGTGATTCCTGTGCTCATGGTTGCACAGCGGCTCCCCTTTGAAAGCAGGGTGTCCTTCTAAGGATATTACACACTGAAAGGTGCTGTGGGGCTTCTACCCCTTCAGATCAATGTCAACCAAGTATTTCACTTCCTGGGTGAAAAAAACCTCTGGAACTTGAACATGAGTCACTTCTTCTCCTTTCCCCACAGAAGTATTAGTGCTTTCTTCAAGTTTCATATAATCTTGGAAAGTCCAAACAGAATTTATAGCTTAATAAGAAGAAAATGCTTCAGGATATGAAGTAAAATAATACGGCTGAGCCATGAGCTACATACTCAATAGTTAATTCAGCTTCAAAAAGAACCATCATTCATAAAATAGGGAATAACAAAAACCCCACACTAAATGAAAATACATTTAAGTTCTTGCTTCCTGTAAGCAGACTAAGACCAGCGGAGAGTAAATTCTAAACATCACTTGTTTTGAATATGCAACAGCATGAAGTACTCTGGCAACCTTTAATCTTACTGATCAGTTTGTAACTCTGACAGTTCCTATGCTTCTTCCACTGCCCCTCCTGCAAATGAAACAAAACTGCCTTTTCTATGCTATTTCCTCTGGATAAATTTACTGTTTAATTTCCATTTATACAATCACATTTCTGTTTCCATCCATACCCCTGAAGCTGCCACAGTGTCCTTTAGGGCAGACAATCCATAGGCCCACACAGACAGAGTAAACAAAAAGAATACAAACTTCCTTGCAGGGAAATAAAATTCACTTGATGAACATCTAACAGCCTTAATATAAATTTTCTTCAAGATATTGGCAATAATGTATTGTAAAGGTAGCTGTTTACTCTGTCAAGTAAGATGGGCACTTGGCAGCTGCCACTTGTAAAAAGCTCAATTTAAGTTTTATAAATGATGGGGACAGCCCCATTTTCACAAAATTAAATACAAATTCCTATTCTATACTCCATTAAACATAAATGAAGCCTGGCTAATCTTTTGCATTCAACAATTTGGCCTTTGAGAGAAGCTCAGTTGGTTAAAGCATGGTGGAAAAGCCAAGGTGGCAGGTTTGATCCCTGTATGATCCAGAAGGATCATACTGCACATGGGTCTGGGCAAACCCCCACAACATCCTACTTTCTAAACTGGAGAGAGATGGATTTAATGGGTGGACTGTTTGGTGGATAAGGAATTGGTTGGACAATCATACCCAAGAGTCAATAGCACAGAATCCCAAAGGACATCAGTGACCAGTGGTGTCCCTCAGGGCTCTGTACTCAGACCAGTGTTATTTAATGTCTTCATTGATAACACAGATGAAGGGATCAAGCACAGCCTCAGCAAAGCTGCAGATGAAAGGGGAGGTGGTGTGGATGTCAAGCTGAGTGGTGTGGTTGACACACCTGAAGGACAGGGTGCCATACAGAGGGACCTGGACAAGCTCAAGAAATGGGCTTATGGGACTCTTGTAGTCCAACAAGATCAAGTACAAGGTGCTGCACCTGGGTCAGGGCAAACGCTGGTATCAACACAGGCTGGGGGATGAACAGATGGAAAGCAGCCCTGCCAAAAAAACTTGCGGGAACTGGCAGATGAACAGCTGCACATGACTCAGCCATGTGCACTTGCAGCCCAGAAAGCCAACTGTATCCTGGGCTGCATCAGAAGCAGCATGGCCAGGAGGCTGAGGAAGCTGATTCTGTCCCTCTGCTCTGCTCTTGTGAAAGCCCACCTGGAGTGCTGCATCCAGCCCTAGGTGCCACAGCACAGGAAAGACATGGACCTGTTGGAAGAGGTCCAGATGAGGCTACAAAAATGACCATAGGGATGGAACAGATCTCCTTTGAAGAAAGGCTGAGAGAGGGTTGGGGTTGTTTCTCCTGGAGAAAGAGTTGTCTTTCAGCACGTTAGGAAAGCTTATATGGAAAATAGGGACAGACTTTTTTGCTGGACCTGTTGTTATAGGACAAGGAGTAATGGTTTTAGAAGAGGGTGCTTTTAGACCAGACATAAAGAATAAATGATTTACAGTGAAACACTAGAACAGTGAGACACTACCCAGAGAAAGGGTAGACACCCCATTCCTGGAAATATTCAAGGTCAGATTGGATGGGTCTCTGAGCAACCTAGTCTATAATTTAATGAGGTGACTAAAGACTTTGAGAGGGGCAAGGAGTACAAGAAACACAGCATCTTTTATCAGCCAAGCTTTCAGGCAAATAGGTCTTCCTTCAGTTTTGCTCTTTCTGCTGTGTAATTCAGGAAAGTCTTATTTGACCTTCACACCCTCTCCTCAACTCCTACCAAGCATCCTAATGAAACAGGCATCCTTTCAAAGGTAATCCTAGCTCATTAAATTTATGTTTGTTTCTTCAAGACATGTAATACATTTATTCTTTTACTACTAATTTCTTCTTTTCCCATTACTAATAGAACTTGAAAGCCATAGTCTCATAGGCATTTTTAAATTTTTGAACTTACTTTAAATCTAAAGCTAACGCTGACATGAAAAATTGGAAAATAAAAACATACAATACTTTTTACATAATAGACATTATCTTAACCTCCAAGAAATAAATTGTAGGGTATTAAAGGAAAAGCAAGCTCTAGCCTTATTCATATTGAGACCAGGAGGAAATTGCTGTCCTCAATTATTCCTTGGAGTATCCCAGATAAAATCTAACAACAACTTCCTTAAAAGCAGCTCTCTGAGTCTTGGAATGCCCAGGCTCTTAAATCACTAATAAGAACTAATCTTTTGAGTTGAGTCTGAACTGCACAGTCTGACATTTTTCAAAGTCTGAAAGAGAAGTCTTGTTTTGTGGCATCATGTCCTGCATAGTTCCTATTTAGTAATTTTTTCACATCTTCCTCTGTTCTTTTTCTTCTTGCCTTCTCATTGTTTTCTTACGGTACATTTGCTCCACTTTTCTAAAGGTGTTTGTAGTCCAAGGTGTTTTGTTAACACAGAAAAACACACATGAGCTCTAAAGACATGCACTACCACAGACAAATAAATAAAAAATTAAGCAATCACATATGTACATTCTACTGCAGCACATACTGGGATTAATTTAAATAAATCACACCCAGAGTTGAGACCAAGAGAACTTTTGAAACAGATGGTCTTGCATCTAGTCTAAAATCAATGCCAAGGACCAGGATAAAGCTACAACAGTATGCAGCTGATTATCAGAAGTGCTCCTTTCTGATGTACACTACTGACCCCTTAAAAAAAAACCCAACCAAACAAACAAAAAAACCAAATACTTCTTATTTCCACATTGCTCCTTGCAGAGTATGTGCCTCAAAACATAAAATTTGATAGATCCAAAGCACATGCTGTGGCCTGATTGAGCAAAGCTAAACACAGTCCACAGCAACTGACAGAGTCCAAATGTCAATACAGGCAAACACTGTGCAAAGCTCCTGTTCTGTGCCAATAGCCTGCTTCAGCTTCCAGGTCTCCCTGAATGGATTCAGTACTTCAGCAGAACACTGCAAGGTTTAGGAAACTTACTACAATGGACCTCATCACTCCAATCATCACAGTCGTTGTAGCCATTACACTGCAGTTTCCCTGGGATGCAGATCCCACTGGCACACAAGAAACTCTCCTCTCCTCCACACAGTGCTGTAAGAGAGCAGAAAAGACAGAATGTGGAGAAAAATCATTAGCATCAACACTACAAATTTAGTGATACTAGAGTCTTACAAATGTTAAACCAATATCTCATATTTCTCACAGGGATGAAAATATATTTCCAATTTGGAAAACATTAGGATAGCTCTCAGAGGAACATCACTGAATGCAAGAAGGTCAAGAGGAAAACCTAAAAGAGAAAAAATCTCAGATTTTGAGACAGCACAAAGCCATTTAAAACTTCTATCACTGAATGACCCATTTTAAAAGACCTCAACAGACAGTCATGAAAGGACTATTACAGCTGCTAAATCTGCCCCTGAGATGAAGGAAGGAACCTTACATGCTCATGTGGAATATTTCTACAAAAATATAATAATTTTTGCTTAAGACTGGCTTTACTATCTAGCCCTTCGGTATTCCTCACAGCTTGCCAAACCATTGGTATACAGTGGATGCCATGAGGTACTACTTAGCACTGGGCATGCTTTTTCAGTGGGTTTTTTTTTCAAAAATGTCAAATAGCTCCAGCTTGCACTGGCTGCACATTCAACTATTTACCTAGATTTTTAGCTTTATTTGTGGTCCTAGAATAGCAGTCTTCATCACACTATGGCAATGTCTGTACACACAAATACACACACTCTCAGCACCTTCATTATTAGTTTTAAATTTTGTCAGCAGGAGATTTTTTTTTTCAACACACATTCTTTTCTAAGCCTCCCTATTATTTTATTATCCCCAAGAAACAGGGCAGACTTAGACTTAGTTAACTGAAACACACACTCCTTATGAAAATTTTGTTTGTAATAAACACTTAGGAATAATTTCAAAATCTTTTCTATGACGTTTCCAGGCGTACTGTCCACTTGGACAGCAAATAATTTTGATTTTGCAATACAAACATCATTTTCTAGCTGTGTAATGAGAACATGGTTATTTGCAGTGAAAGCTGCTTATGGAATATATTTAAAGGAGGTAAACTAACTCCTAACTAATTTTACTGAACAGTGCCCAAAATATTAATTAGGTGCCCTAATACTAATTTAAACCAAAGATTTTCAACTGGTTTGTGCCATTTAATGTTTGTGACTCTTCATCAGTGACAAGATAGTGTAAAACCGCCAGCATCATCCTTCTGCACACCCTTATGATGTATTCCTCAGTAGGTTCCCCCACACTGTGTGGCTGAGTACATTTCCTAACCTGTAACTGAAAAGTTACTGCCTCTCCTGTATTCTACCAGTTTTATGAACTGCAAAATACGACAGCCTTAAGACAAACACGAGATTTGATAACAGCCACAGTCTCATTTTATAGCGTGAAAAATGAGGCAATGAGATATTACAATGAAAATTATAAGGAATAATGAATAATAACATCTAAGACACAAAAATCAGCATGTGATTTTTTTTTTTTTTGGAGGGTAAAGACTGATGTCATTTTACATGTTCAAAGAATAGCTCTTGTTACCTTTATCTGCAGCTGCAAATGACTCAGTTGCAAATAAACTCCAGCTATAGAAATTAAGAGCCCAGTTAGCTGGAAGTGCTCTAAGAACAGTAGAGAAAATTTTTATTCAAGTGCCTTGCTCAGCATGGTCATTCCAACAGTGACAGGGCAAGAATCTCATTTCATATGATAATGTCACACTTTTATTATGAGCTGATCTTTTTATTTCTCCAGTTCCCTGCCCTATACACTGCACTTCCTGATTTCTATAGTCACTAAGCTCTACAGGGGCCCCCAGAAACAACAAACTTCCTTGGTATAGAAGTACTACTTCCTCAGACAACAGAGTTTATCCCACAGATGATGATGTCAGGTAAAAATACAATATGATAGCATAATCAAAATTTTGTAACTCATCATACAAGAAAGGCTCTTAGGGGTTGGAAAGGCAACTTTAACTGATGGGTAATCTTACATTCTTATAACTTGGCTTTTACACAAATTCCTTCATGTTTAAAAAGAGCGTAAATAGCTCAAAAGAAACTGCCTTGATTTGCTTTGATGGAGATCTCCATCAGTACAGAGCTTCACTGGTACTAAGACAGCAAGAGTAATGGACTCCTATCTTTTGTGTGTAGATGCCAATCTGGCCTGGGAGAATGAAAGTTAACAGCAGGGATATCTGATAACTTTTCTTACAGATCAGAAGAGAAAGGTTCCAGGGTCCCATATTCATTTCTGAGCAATGAAGAAAAGTGTGTTGAAGCATTTTTAAGTCATCCTGACTCTGCCTCCTTAATACATCTCTGTCTTGTTTTGCTCGTGTCCCAAACCACTTCTCCATTTCTGCACACCTAAAGTGAGCATTTTTCTGTTTATCTTGTATGTTATACAAAAAACAAGAGGAAGAGTGAGATTAGTTTTCTTTATTTCAGTTTTATCTTCCAGCTGCAATCAGGAGGCATCTTTAGAAATTTTAATCTCACCTCTTGCAGTCTTGTCATAGGTAATGACTGGATATGTTTGGTCCAGTCAGTACAGTGTACAGGGCAAGGAGAGTACAGACACTGTGGACAGTACCTCCAATTAATGTAATTTCTGCTTTCTACCAAGCTTGTGCAAGAACTTTTCAGTAGGCTGACCACTCCATCATACCTCCAAAGATCAGATTTTAATGGAAATTATAAAAGCTTTATATAATGCTGTAGTATTTGATCTGGAACCTAGTGGATTTAGGTATGCAACCATTTATAAGACTTTACTGAACACAGGCTACATACTCAGAAACCCTGGTACTGTTTGAAACACAGCAGCAGCAGAAGTAATGCCTGAAGTAGATGTCTGAAATAGGAAGAACACAGACCATTCCACTCAAAATTATTACAAATGGCAAAGATGTTATTCTAGATAAATATGCTGGGAAATGTTAATTACTGATACCTCTGTAAATAATTTACACATTTATTAATAAAATCAAGCAAATATACACACACACAAACTCCTCCAGAAGAATGTTATCTAAAATGAGCCCAAATAAAATGGAAGCAATCCTTGCTAATAGAGAAACTTGCCTGTTTTAGTCCTTACCCAGAAAGTTTTACAATCTGGATTAGCTTCCAAAATCCTGGACTAAACACTAGTGGCAGGAAAAAGTGTTTCATTTTACCTGTGTGTGGTGTATTATCAAAAGTGTCTTTGAGAAGGTAAGACTATTTATTTGTTGTACTTTCCAGCTAGATTACTGGAATGTCATCTATAGAAGATTATGTGGAAAGGTCCCTGGAAAGCTGCAGAGAGCACAGACTGAAATAAACATTATTTTACCACACTCAAGACTGTCATCTGGTTGAATTTCAAGGTACAGCAACAGATAAAGCATCCTCTAACTGTGAAAATTACCATGGAAAGTGCTGCCAGTTTTTTTTTTTTTCAAAGTGAAGAGGAGACCACATTTACTATCTAATGCTATGGAAAAAGTAAGAGGTATTAAAACAACCAAAAGGCAGTGTTCTTCAAGCAATGCAAGCTGTAACATTCTGGAACACAATACTATGGATGCTAAAACGTAAACAGACCCATGTAACAAAGGGACACATTAATAGAATAAAAATCTATGGCACTATGGCAGGTCACAAATTACAGAAGAATCCTTGAATTTCCAACAGATGGAAAATGCAGGGGCATTTGGAAAAGTACCACCACATAGTCTTGGCCACTTCTCCTTTTCTGGGCATTTGATTTTCCCAGCTTTTGGAGACAGAATTATAAGACAGAAGGACTTTTTCTCTTACCCAATACAGTCATAACAGCACAATGGAACACAGAAAAATCCCTGTATTCTCTCACTTTTAGATTTTTATCACCTGCTCCCTATACCATGCATGTACCCTGCAGTACAGTGTATGCATCTTGTTGCTGTCAATTCTAGAAAGTTTTGATACTATGATCACAATCATGGAATTAGAAAAGCTGGTGACTCCTTACCCCCAGGTAATTGTTCATTTCTCTATTTCCTTAGGATGCAAAATCCTGTGGGAGAAAAAAGACAAAAGTCCTTTTTCTTTCACTCAATGATGTGGCCTAAAAAGACCACATAAAAAAACTCCAAGCTGGAAAAGAAACAGGCAAAAAACAGGAACACAGGCAGAATAGGAGAATAAAAACCAGAGAAAATAATAGAATATAATGCAGGATCAATAGAATTAAAGAGTGACTTGGTGGAGGAAATAGTTTAAGCTACTGTGCATGTTTCTTCAGATGAAACACGACGAAAATCCTGAAAAACATTTTGTTTTCCTCAAAAAATTATTCCACTATTGCTGTTTTTGCAGCTGTTAAGCAGCAATGTTACACATACACAAATCATCTCTCTCTCCTTTTCACTCCATTAACTAAATGCAAGGACACAAACAAAGATACTATCATCCTGATTTTAAAATCATCTCAGAAAAATTATCTACTGGATGTATATAATTATATTGCCTACAGAAAAATAAATACCTGCTGCAATCATGTATTCAAATTCTGTACTCAGAGTAATTCCTCAAAAACAATTACCTTAATTAATACCAGTTTGAATGAACCTAGGGGTGACCTAATGCAGCCTTCTAATACCTCCATGGAGCCTACAAGAAAGATGGAGAGGAACAAGAACATGTAGTAATGGGACAAGGGGAATGGCTTCAAACTGAAAGAGACTAGATATAGATTAGATATTAGGAAGAAAATCTTTATGGTGAGGGTGGTGAGGCACTGGAACAGGTTGCCCACAGAGGCTGCGGATGCCCCACCCCTGGAAGTGTTCAAGGCCAGGTTGGATGGGGCTCTGAGTAACCTGGTCTAGTGAAAGGTGTGCCTTACTATGGCAGAGGGGTAGGAATAAGATGATTTTTAAGGTCCCTTCCAACCCAAAATATCATGACAATCTTGTGCACCACTTCTTTAACAGAAACAGACATTCATTCATAATGTCTCTTCAGCAAAAATACAAAAGTGAACAATGTCTCATAACTCTATACTATTGTATTTGCAGGGATCCCTGATGAAGGAAGGAATGATGAATCTGACTCCATGTTCTCAGAAGGCTAATTTATTATTTTATAATACTATATTATATTAAAGAATACTAAACTATACTATAATAAAGAATACAGAAAGGATACTTAGAGAATGCTAAAAAGCTAATAAAGAAAACTCGTGACTCTCTCCAGAGTCCCAACACAGCTTGGCACTGATTGGCCATTGAGTCAAAACAATTCACACCAGAAACCAATGAAACAATCCCCAAATAAATTCCACATGTGAGAAGCACAGAGAAGAAGCAAATGAGGTAAGAATTGTTTCCCTTTTCCCCTGAGGCTTCTCAGCTTCCCATGAGAAAAGTCCTGGGTGAAGGGATTTTTCAGAAAATGTGAATGTGACACTATACTGTAATTTACATAGTTTTGTTGTATAAACACTAGAAGCATTATATTCACTGCTGCTTTTGAAAGCATCTTACAATTCAAATTAACAGAAAAATAACTTCAGGGCTCTTTTGAGAGCTCTACATTAATCTAAGGCAGATTATTGTGTTGCTTTACTTCTCATTCAAGCTGCTGGGTTTTCTTCTGATATGGGTTTAACACCAACAGTTATGCTGGCTGGTCAAAGCTAAAATAACATTATAAACAGTGTCAGTTGAGAGAGAGAGAGAAAAGCAGAGCTGAAATTTTTCTATGAGTAGGGATAAGAATAACGGCCCTCAGGAAGGTTTCTATGATTTCTTCCCCCCAGAACTGGTTACATGTGGAGTGAATGACTGATAATGCTTCCTGCTCGCTCCCTTACATGCTCATAGCTCATTAAACCTGTGAAACCAGTTCAACCACCTATCTTAAATCTCAAAATTTAAATTCTTACAACTATTATTAGGGTAGCTGATTTCCTCATCTACTGAGTATTCACTTGTCACTTGTGTAAACAGGTATCAATCTGAAGGACATCAGCCTTTTCAGTATTTTCAGTACAATCAGTATTTTCAGTACAATCAGTACATCTGTGTTCACATCAGGGATGCATTTCATAATAGATTCCCCACAGTGGTATTGTACACTCTATTTCCAATGCCTGTGGAGCTAAATTTTAGACAAAGAGATAATTAGCCATGACACACGGTCCAATATGTATCCTCAAGATAATTCTAACCAATAAACATTTTTCAGGAGAATTGTTAACTGCTCCCAGGACAAATGCTCTGGATTCCAACTACAACATGACTCAAGCATATTTTCTCCAACAGGGCTTGGAACTATGGCATTCAAGGATTTTTTGGAGGAGTGATAATCTTAAATTCAGAAAATGTGGAGGATATGGAGTTTTTAGCCAAATTCAGACAAAAATAAACAAGAGAAATCAAGAGAAACTTTTGTTTGGGATTGGGTGACTGGGTGACACTACAAGAATCTGTGAAACAAGTAGTCACAGTAGTCAGACCTTAATTTTGATAAACACAGGATATAACTAAAGATGCAGAAGAGAAATACATGACACAAAACAAATTATATGCAAGGCATATGTGGGCAGGGAACAATTCCCTGCATGTAACCTGGAGGCACCAAACCCCAAAAGAAACCACAGAGTTGAGAAACAGTCATAAACCGAGGACATGCTCTTGAAATTTCCAGGAACTGTAGACTGAGTAGAGTGTGAAAAGCAGTTTTTGCTGAGCACTAGATGAAAAGGGATTAGAACAGAGACTCAGCCTCAGCTGTTTGGTTCTACAGTGGTCAGAGAAGTAAATTCTCTCAAATATAAAAACTGCAGAAATAAATATTCATGAACAGTACGGTTTATTTCTGTAGGAGAAGCAGCTTAGTGAACCCAAATTCTTACCTTTTTCAGTCACAGAGGAATCACACTAGAACCATTCTTTTAAATAAAAATAAAGGTCAAAATATTCTCCTAGTCATAGAATCATAGAATGGTAGAAGGGCTTGGGTCAGAAGGGACCTTAAAAATCATCTTATTCCTACCCCTCTGCCATAGTAAGGCACACCTTTCACTAGACCAGGTTACTCAGAGCCCCATCCAACCTGGCCTTGAACACTTCCAGGGATGGGGCATCCACAGCCTCTGTGGGCAACCTGTTCCAGTGCCTCACCACCCTCACCATAAAGATTTTCTTCCTAATATCTAATCTAAACCTACTCTCAGTTTGAAGCCTTTCCCCCTTGTTCCATTACTACAGGTAAAGAGTCAGTCTCCATCTTTCTTGTAGGCTCTCTGCAGGTCCTGGAAGACAGCTCAATTATAGTCTCCCATTCTACATGAAAACCATTCATATCCAAGCATCAGGCACAATGAAAAATTTAATTTTAAAAAACCCCTTTGTTTTATACAACAGGATGTCAGAACTGACAAGAAGTAGGACAATAAGGGACTCCACAGTCTGTCAGGTAGGAGCAGAAGAATCTCACAATTGGCTCTACATTTTTATCCCTAGTGAGAAAAAGCAAGCTTCCAGTGTGTACTTACCTGTCATTTCTGCAGTTCACTACCAGATGAATACCAATCCTGCCATACACATTATGGAATAATCATTAACCAGACACTATTCCTAACAGCTCCTGCTCTAGCAGTACTTAATATATTATTTTAGCCATAGGCTATTCTGAAACTTGAAAGTTTTTTAATTGACAAAATCTCTTCTGGCTTAATCTAAACTCAGCTCTCTAGATTTGGTGGGGCTTTTGAACACACTGACAAGGTGTAACAAACAATGGTTACAGCAACCCTGTGAGCTAAAAGGAGCTTTTAGTCCCACTTTACATAGGGAATTTGAGGCACAGAAAAAAAATATACATTTTATATTTACTTGCTTACTGTTTCAATTTGGAGAGATCCATTAGACCTAATTTTTTCAGCATACATATCATATATTTTTATCATACAGTCAAGACACTGGTCCCAGCAGCTTTCACTACAGCAACTCGCACAAAATTCCACAGGACACTATAATAAAAATTTATGGACAGTGTTCAATTTAACTGCGAATCATTCAACTTTAACAAGACACATTCCTTTGGGTCTTTCCCTATCTCAGCCAGTACAAATTTCCCACAGATGAAGGTAGGTATGGACAACAGCCTCCTTTACTTCATAACTCTTCAAAAATATGCCTTTAGAGCTGGAGAGAATCCAACTGGTAAAAGACTTGGTCTAACAATTTTAGGCTAAATCATTATGTATACTCAGGAACTGCAAGGAGGTAGCCCAGGATACATAATCTATTCTAATTGTACCATCAACTAACATTCAAAGAAACAATGTATAACCTCCCGATCTTTTAAGGTAGTTTTAAAGAATAAATTCTCATGAGTTTTTAATTAAAAAATTGAAAAACAGTTTTCATCATACCCTTTCTTCTTGTTTGTTGTCACACAGAAGTCATTAACAAAGCTAGAATCCACAGATAGACTGTACAAGCCTCAGTCTCTTCATCTCACAGAGTGCCTATCAACAGCAAAGTCTCAGATGCCAGCAAGAGAACTCCAGCAATGGGGTCAGTGAGAAAAAAGTCAGGCTCACTGCTCTCAGGTGTGATCTCACCTCTAGATTTGGATCTAGAGAACACAGCAGCACCTCTGAGGAGATGGAAATGCCTTGTTTTTAGAGACTGGCTGAAAAGCTGCCCAGTGGAAAATGAGCAGGGAATGCTGGTCTACAGCTGGCTGAACACGAGCCAGCAGTGCCCAGGTGGCCAAGAGGGCCAGTGGCACCCTGGCCTGTGTCAGCAATAGTGTAGCCAGCAGGAGCAGGGCAGTGACTGTCCCCAGCTGTACTTGGCACTGGTGAAGCCACAGCTGGAATCCCGTGTTTACTTTGGCCCTGCAGTACAAGAAAGACATTTTGGTGCTGGAGGAGCATGTCTAGAGAAGGGCAACAGAGCTGGGGAAGGGTCTACAGAGCATAAGTTTTATGAGGAGTGGTGAGGGATCTGGGGTTATTTGGCCTGTGGGAAAAAATGCTCAGGGGGGACCTGATCACTCTCTTACAACTGCCAGAAAGGTGGTTGTATAAAGGTGGCAGTGTCTTCCCCCACGGAACAAGCAATATGACAGGAGAAAAAAGCCTCAAGGAGAACCAGGAGAGGTTCAGATTGGATATTAGGAAGAAAATCTTCACGGGAAGGCTGGTCAGTCATTGGAACAGACTTCCCAGGTAAGTGGTGTAGTCATCATCCCTGCAGGTATCTAAAAGATGCACAGACATGACAATTAGGGACATGGTTTAGTGGTGGATTTGGCACTGCTGAGTTAACAGCTGGACTGGATGACCTCCAATATCTTTTTTGAGATAAAAAATGATTCTATGACTTTATGTGTGGGCATATAAAGACCATGCTTTTTTTTTTACCTCTTGATCAGTTTTGGGCTCATTTTTACAGCAAGGAAAAAGGAGATACACTTGAAATTTGGCCTGTGTATCGTGTTTCTACTCCAAATAACAAACCTGTATTTATTATGGCTAGCAAACAAAAAGTCAACAGGTCATATTACTTTCCTCCAACCTTCTTTCCCTGAAACAGCTCAGAATTTTTGATGTAAAATAAAAAGGCTTTAAATCAACACAAGTCTGAAAAAAATCAGCCTGAACAATTAAAGCACTGCAAACTATAATCAAATGACAACCAGACTTTATTACAGTAATAAGATGGAACAATAAATAATACTTTCACCCCAGAGCTTTTCCTACACAGGAAGAAAATAAATTATTAAATGAAAACTCATAAACACAGTGTAACAGTTAAGAATGGAAACATACACTGCTTTCCTTTTTCTTGGTGTGGTGAGAAGCATACCCTTGTAGTGGTGTCATTCTCAGTTTTGTTCTGGAATTGAGAGCACTTCAAGAAGTCTGGCCAAGAAGCATTCACCATACCCAGCACTGGTTCACAGCCTTCTTTTGCTGCCTCACAAAACGTCCTGCAGGGCAAGAGGCCTCGACTAAAGAAAAGAGACAGTGAGCAAAATTAAAAATTATTATTACTTTAGCAGGTTGTGAAAACTTTTTAGAAAGAGCAAAAAATAAGCGCTTTTGAAAAATTTTGCACTCTACAGAGCTACACCCATACCCTTACAGTAATTAAATTTTCAACTCAGCTTTCTTGCAGTTTATGTCTAAATTACTGCAGAACCTCTTAGGCTTTAGCAAATGAAATTTTGCCTTATTCATAACCACTCACAATGCCACAGAACGATGTTTTTCCTGGTACACCACAGGTGTCTTTCTCTTTACATTTGACTCTCAGTTGTACCTGCCCATCTCAAAACCATGGCTAGAATTCCATATTCAGTCACAAGTAAGTGACCTGAACTGAAGAATTCTACAGTACCCAAAAATTTACCAACTTAGTGTTTCATTTTACAGTAACAAAGAATAACACAGTACTTTTAGCAACTGTGTGACATGGCAGCAACCACAAGAAATAAATAAAAAAGCTGCCAGAACTGCCTCACCACAATGTTAACTACGAGATTGATGTAAAGCAAAATATTCACTTGCGTAAGTATTCTGAAGTCAGTATGGTTGTCGTTCTCTACTTAGTATCTAAAAACACAAGTGTGCTGTTAGTGTTTTTGCTGAGTTCATTACATACTCTGGGTGGAACCACTTTTTTAGAAAAGATGTTTTTAGAGGTACATTCTCCAGGTAATGCTAAGGATTTTACACAATGCACTTCACATGCTGCAGTACTGAACTTATGTCAGAAACAAGTCAAGGAATTTATCTCTAAAATTGTCTCCTTCAGCTTCCTGGGTGGCAGATTATTGTTGCCTGTGAAGAACCATATATATTCTAAAACAGCCCTTTTCACCACCACACTTTTTTATTTTGATCTGTTGAAAGATAGAACTTTGCACCAAAGATCACCTACATGGCTGTGTAGAAAACCAAGAATGGTTTCATGTGAGGACAGAAGAGTTGTCATTTATTAGCTCTGCACATTGTACTAGCAAACTAAGTTCTTCTGACTTGTAAAGGCTCTTCAGATAAAGATGTTGAAACACTCTTCTGCTTTTTACAGAACATATTCTATATGGAGAGAAAGAAAGGGCACAAGAACTTTTAAGCAGCCATCATTGCTTCCTGTCTGGAGCCTGACAAACTCCTTAAATAAATGGGATTTCACAAGCCAAGTGACTGTCTCCAGATATTTTTAACCTTTTCCTTCTTAGCTAATATACTAATAACACTTCTGGTTTGACAGAGGCTCCCTACTACAGAAAAATGCCCAAAGAAATGCTGCTACTTACTACAGAAGGCACTTGAGTTTCAAAATATCTGTAAGAAATAAGATGTCACAAAGCTAAAATGGAGTATTGATTTGACTTGTTGGTGAGAACCCTGTATTTCATTCAATCTGATATGCTTAATTTAACTTTCTGTTCATTTTTTTACAAAACCACAAAATATGCTACAAAACTGTACTACAGTGCAAAGTATTGTAAGCAGTGATTCTACCTCATTTACTGGTGCCATGGAGCACCACCTGATGATCACAAGTAGTAATCTGAAGGCATTACATTCTGCTGAGTTTATTTTTTGTTCTCAAAAAAAGTGTTAGTGGGGGCATTACTTGAATGTAACAGGCCTCTGACAGAGATCTACTTATTACAGTTAACGAATCTGTACACATGATTTCTACCAATGGGAATGCTTCTTGAAAAAAATCCCAACAAATAAACAACCAAAACATCAAGAGTTCTTGAGGACTCTCAAAGTTTCATACATATGATCTCTGTTTTTTCCTGACCCACACCTAAATCATTAACTTTCAAAGCACCACACCTCAGCTATAGCCTGACATTTAGCAACCAGGCAATAGTAGTATGTGTATGTCAATATCTTAAAATGTAACTACAGCAAATTTCCATCTATATGTTTCCTTGTTTCCAAAGGTCTTTCAACATACTGAACAGTCATTTAAATCAAAATTTAAAAAATAATATTAAAAAGTTATATTAAAATATAACTATGCAGAGTTACACTTACACATAATTGTTAAAAATCTTCTAAAAATGTCAGGAGTAATTTTTTTCAGAAGAGCTATCTGCACATTGAATTTTTTACATCTGTATCAGGAAAAACTCAAAAATACAAAAAGTTCACCTTGTTTATTTGTATGGTATTGGATTTGCATGGCAAGGTTCTTGTAGTGGGAGGGATACAGGGGTGGCTCCTGTGAGAAGCTGCCAGAAGTTTCTCCTGTGTCTGACAGAGCCAACTCCAGTCAGATGCAAGACAGACCCACCACTGGCCAAAGCTGAGCCCATCACTGATGGCTGTTGTGCCTCTGCAATATTTAAGGAGGCAGGGAAAAAACCGGTGCAAGGCAACCTCAGCCAGGAGAAAGGAGTGCGAATATGGGAGAGAAGCAACTCTGTAGATACCAAGGTCAGTGCAGCAGCAGAGGCAAGAGGTGCAGGCCCTGGAGAACCCCACTCTGGAACAGGTGGATGCCCAAAGGAAGCTGTGACCCTGTGGGACCCCCCACTGGAGCAGGTTTGCTGGCAGAACTTGTGACCCTGTGGTGAACCCGCGCTGCAGCAGCCAGTTCCTGAAGGACTGCACACTGTGGGAGGGACCCACGCTGGAGCAGTTCATGAAGAACAGGACCCCATGGTAAGGACCCACACTGGAGAAGTTCATGGAGGACTGTGTCCCAGAGGAGGGACCACATGGTGGAGCAGAGGAAGAGTGTGAGGAGTCCTTGTCCTGAGAAGGAAGGAGGGTCAGTGACAATGTGTGATGAACTGACCGCAGCCCACACTTGCCATCCCCCAGCACCCCTGAGGGGACAGCAGGCATGGAATTCATGACCAAAGTCAGGAAGAAGAGAGGGATGTGAGGAAGGTGTTTTTAGATTTGGGGTTTCTTTTCTCATTGTCCTGCTCTGATTTGATTGGCAGTGAATTAAATTACTTTCCCCATGCTGAGTCTGTTTGCCTATGACAGTAGCTGGCGAGTGGTCTCTCCTTGTCCGTATCGCAATCCGTGAGACTTGTTCTATTTTCTCTCCGCGGTCCAGCTGAAGAGGGGAGTAACAGAGCAGCTTGGGAGAGCACCTGGTGACCAGCCAGGGTTAACCTACCACAGACATGCAAAGAACAGTTGGAATTTTGTAATACAATTGGCATATGGACTGGTAATTTGGAAATTATCAGTCTTTTAAAAGACAACTACATGGTGATCTAACAACCAAGCAGAATTTGTAGTCTCTAGAGAAGCTCTGACAAATCAGAAAACATGGGATTATCCAGTGATTACTGCAATATTTGGCCCAGTTTCAATGTTGAGTCATGTGTGCTCCATAAATTAAATATTTCTGGATAATGATCAAGTTTATGATGAACTTATTGCTTAATTTTCTGGAGGATGAAAACATTATTAATAGTCTTTATCTTGATTAGTCTTATTTACAGCTACTCAGAGACCAATCATTTTAAAAATAAACTGGCAGGTCTATGGCAATCTTACCATAATTGATTTGGCACCAGTGGCAGGCACAGAAGCAGGTTGTAACATATTAGCGTATGATTCTGCTCTTCAGGATATTAATAGAAAAGCTCCTGAAATTGGAATTTGATGAAAGAAAGAAAATATGACATATTTTTATCTCTGTGGTTGGTTTCCCCAGACTCCAAACCCACACTTCAGTAAATTCAGCTGCACAGAAATACCAATATTAAGAAATGTATGGAATAAGAAAATAGGAATCTTATCATTTATTTAAAAAAAATATTAAAGGTAGAGAGAATATATAAGGGATTCAAATTTGCATAAGGCATCTTTGAAGAAGCTATCGAAGTTTTGTATTAAATACTCATTGAAGCACATATGTTCAAAACAGTATATATTCAAATCACTCTGTTAAGTGATTTTAAGTTTCCAATGCCTGAAAGTAGAAGATCTGACTTCCTTGCCATGATGATCACCTAGCGTTCACTTACATTGGAACTCAGATTGCCTGATTACAATCCTACAGGGACCTACTCCTTATAACTTGGAGATATTTTACATTTTTAGACAGATTTTTTTCAGAATTTACTCCTTCTCTTCTTTGCAATCACATCACCATGCACAGGGATCCTCAGCAGACTCCGTTTCTTAAGTGGTTGTTTTGAGTACTAGAAAATATCAAAGAAATAATACTCCAAGAAGCAGTAAGGAGAGGGAAGATCCTCATGGTGACTGTTTTCCTCTTGCTGCAGAATTTACCACATTTTCTAATGTTAGCTCAAGATTCAAGTTAGCTAAAGGTCTGACTCCCAGCCTCAGCAGACATTGAGGGCATGCCTTTCCTGGAAGCAGCAGCACGGTATGCAGCTTGGTTCCCAAATGCCTGGATGTGGTTCCGTGCTACTTTCAGTTTTGCTGCTTGTGAAAGCTGTTTTTAGGCTGTAAGTAAGAGGTCAAACAACTCCTTCAACTGAAGAGTAATGTGATGCAAAGAAAAGCACCTTTTTCTCATCTGGCAATTGACTGGGCCCTCCAAAAGGATACAGGCAAAGACAGAATAAGATGTTATGAGAGGGAGAAGTAGAAATTGCTTGAACAGACAAAAGCATTAAATTAAATAAAATTAACAATTAACTATCCTGCAGAAGCTCCCCATGCAACCTCGTAAATACAATAATATATCTAATGCACATTATTATCTGTGGTATTTCTTTGTGTCTTCACAACAGTATCTCCACTGGTAAAAGCACTGCTATAGACATGCCCTGTTGAGAAATTCATTATTGCAGTTCTACAGGTTAAAGCAATAGAGGGTAAATCATTTGCAAAAGGCTTACAACCAAATTGTTATGCCAGAGCTGAAAATGCAGCATGAAGATCACTCTGAGAACACAAGTGGTGGCTGCATTGCTAAAGGTCACATTTATAGTTCAAGAGACAACCTGACTGCAGGCAGACTGATGAACATTTTCAACTACTGCTG